AAGACACTTTAACCTTTTCATTTACTGCAAGCATCATCCTTCTGCCTGTCGTCAACCCATAATGTAAAAGGTGAGGTCTGGACTAAGAGGGATGGAGCAGGAATTGTTGGCAGGCTGGAGATTGTTACCTTCTGGTCCAGCACAGGCACACAGGATCCAGCTGAGGCTTGAAAGATGTTCAGAGCAGGCAGTTACTGGGGGAAAGGATATTGGGGGTTATCACTACCACTGATACATTCCCCAAGCAAATACTGATGGTCATAATGAAAGTAAAAGGCTGGCAAATGATATCATTTAGGACAAGTGCTTAGCAGGATTCAGTAAAAGGTTATACATACATATTCATACATTTGTGCGGGAATTAGATTGGACCTGATAAAAATTCATAATGGATATAAATGTTCACAGTTCAGGGCATAAATCAGCCACCAGCCTGAGGTTAGAAAATAACCTCCCCTAGAGTCAGACTGTTACATAATTATCAATTATACTTGCAGAGGGGGGAAAGGAGGTTGAAGAATAGGCCAATTTCCTCAGAGACATCTGGGAATTACTATTGGCAGACAACTAATTTAGATTTTATCTGGTATGGAAGTTCTTATTACATCAAATAATGTAATTTAGAATTAAAGCATGTGATTTATTTTGTATTTTTTATTCTTCATGTAACCAAGTTCATGCCTGAGGGTAACTGCAGGTCTTTCCATTACAAGCCAGCCAAAGTTAGTGAAATTCACCGTGCTGTGTTTTCTCACCAAATCTCTTTAAAAACAGGCTCACATTTTGCAAGGAAATCAGGCAGAGTCACAGAAATTTAGTTTATCAAAGCTAGCCAATTAATACAGCCAACTTATTGTCTATATTAATAGAGAAAATGTTACATGTTACATGTTTCTGCAGCAAAATCTCATTCCAAAAAGTTCTCATTTTCATTGTTTGCATAGTAACCTAATAAGAGTTACAGAGGTCCTGAATATCTCAAATTATAGCATGGGGGCTACTCCAGGCCTTCTTTTTTTGCTCAGTATTATCAATTCACCTAAGCAAAACATACATAGTCAGTGGACTTGTTTCCATCAAGCAACACACCTCCAGCTCATGTTGCATTTGAAAACATTCTGTGAGCTAACATAACACACGTTGCATGCTAAGAAAAGCAGCCTTTGTGACCTTGCAAACAGAGAGCTTGATGGAAAATCAGATTCTTAATCAATTGATTAGGAAACCGCAAATGAATACAGGCAATCCTTTATGTTTGCTGCATTGTGATAGCAGTTGCATTCTGCTATAGTTTCTGGAGCACATGATACACTTATTGCAATTACAACATCAATTATCACCACAATAGATGTAGAAAGCTGAGAAACATCTATTAACAAAACATCTCACCAGTTTTCACAGGGAAAAGGAGTGGTACTTGGCATCTGTTTCTCCTAAGCATAATTTCTGTTCCTAGTGAGTATTACTAGAAATATTGCAGTGTGATTGCTCAACATCTGGAAGGTTCTAAGGCCACAGTCTAAAAATAATATGGTCTTATTAAAAAAACTTTACCATGTAAAATAAACGTGAGTGCAAACTCTGTGTAAACTCTGTTCAGACAGATTTATAAAAGGAATGGCTGAAGAGAAGGCAGCAGATGCAACGTAGCAGATTTTAAAAAAAGGTTTCAAATAATAATTTGTGAAGATTTAAGTTGAAAGATGAATTCCAGCTGGCTTTGCTGTGCCAGCTGTGAGCTGGCGAGGACAGCTGTGCCCTGAGCAGGGGTGCTGACTGCCCAGCTCAGCGCTGGTGCTGCAGTGCCGGCGCATTGCAGGCTCCTGACCCGCTGCCCTCGTGTAACGCAGGGCTGCAGAAGCAGCACCACTGCTCCATGGCTTTCCAGGAACAAACAGGGCAACTCCTGTGAACACAATTAGCTCTTGACAGTGGCAGCGTTATCAGCCTTGCAGCTGAATCAAAAATGAGGAATACAATCGTTTGGGGTGGGTCGTGTTGGCACCATTTGGCACCAGTCTTGTGCCAGTCACATGGGCAGTTCTGTCGTGTCCCCTGCCTCCTTCTGTCCAGCCATTTCCCTGGGATGCTCTCAGGCTGCTTACAGCCCAGCTGCCTTGCTCTGCCAGCTACCAAACTGCTGCTCCAGCTCCCACATTGGCTTCTCCCTCTTAGACGTGGCTTACCTTATGCTGGAAACCCCAGTATATGCTGGGAACCTCAACACAGAGCTGCAAAGGATAGGATACATTGAACTGTGAAGAGATGTTTGGGCTGTGAGAGATATGGGGCTGAGGGCTGATTTTTAAAAAATATTTTCAACAGGATAACGAAGTGAACTTCAGAACTTTGCTGACATTTACAATTGTACATCTCAAAAATCTGCAAATGAAGAATTATAGATGAGTTGTAAAGAAATGATGCATTCAAAAGTGGTTGTTTTGACCTAGAATAAGGCAAATTGATAAATAGTGTACAAATAATCCATATAATCTTTCAGTGGAATAAATAGCTTGAAAACTATGAATTGGAAAAGAAAATGATGGGAAACTGTCCTTCTTCCTTGTCAACTAAATGTGAGTTTGCATAGGATATGGCAAGGCAAAAAAGCAATGTCATTTTAGACTCCTCATGAAGAGCAGTAACATCATCAGGTTATGTAATTTTCTTTTAAATTTAGGCCTAAAATATTCTGTTGTATCCCCAACACTGTCAAAAAGAAAAAAGGAAAAGAAAAAAAAAAAAAAAAAAAAAAAGAGAAAGAATTCTGAAAAAAAGCCAGAAAACCAATCATTGGCTGGAGACCAAGCTTATTTGGAAATATGTGCATAAGTTTAACTTGTCCAGACCTTTAAGAGTGATTAAGGGGAGCTCATAGTGGATAACTTCTTCTGGAACAAGCTACTTAGAAATATAAAGTAGGAAAAAAGGGTTAGCAGGTCATGGACTGCCAGAGATTCCGACACTGCTTTGTTAGCTGCTGCTGCTGAGCAGCCACAAAACTAGTCTGGTAGCAGATCCCCAGAGTGCATAAAAACGAGGGTTGCATTTATATATTCTGAGAATCAAGCTTAGGTTTTTTTTTTCTCAGAAACTCACTCCTAGAGACAAACCTCCTATGCTTCTAACAGGTATTTAGATAAAAACAAGGCACATGGTCTAGTCCAGTGCTAAGGACCCCACTGATTCTTTGCTGTTGCTTCCTATTCAAATACAGTCTGGGCCAGCAGGTGCAGCTGCTCCAAGAGCAGCTCCTGCAGAACAGTGCGAATAGAGCCAGCAGATTGTTTAGATTTGAAACTTAGTAATGAGGAACTGCCTGCTGCATTAGTAGAATATGTGGGGTGTGACAAGAGGCTGAGGGAGTAAACAATATTTTATATTCCGATGTCATGTGACAATCAGGAGGAAAATCTTTAAAAAAAAAAAAAGGCAAGAAAAAATAAAGGGTGGTAAAGCAGCCATCTTCCATCTTGTCCCATTCTCTCTGAAAATCAGAACAGTAAATAAGTTAGGGTCTCCCCTGATTAGCAAACACTTTTTTTACAGAGGACACACATAATGAAGAGTTAGAGATAAGGAAGGTATTCCTTAGAAGAGATTATGAACAAACCATAGATTAAAGATAGTTTCTGTTAAGAGTTCTATTTGTATAGATTTAGTATACTAAAATACTTTGGTAGAACAGGTATTCTATTAATGCTTGTATTACGTCTTGCATCAGAAAATGAAAGCCAAGGACATCTCTGCATTATTCTCACTTTCACACTTCCTGGATTTTTTTGGGTGTGGAAGGGGCAACAAAAAAATCCATGAACAATTAAAGTGTGCAGTTCAGAAAAAATTAGGCTCCTGGGAATGCTTGAGAATTTAAAGGGAAAGAAAGGCAGGCAAGAGGTGGCTCAGCTCACCTATGGCATAACTGCATTCCAACATTTGGAGGATAGTGGGGGTGTTCAACAGCATGTCAAACATGGGATTCTGACTCTAAAGCCCGTGATGCTTTTAGAGTCTGTAAAATTTTATTTAGAGTTAGTCTGGCTTCAGCAGTTGAAGTGACAAAACTAAGTCTTTTAAAACTCTTCCCACTATATTCAATGCAATGCAGGTTGTAAACATTTCTATTCACACAATTGAACCTGTATTGTAAATAGTAATATATTCAGGGTCATTAATTCATTTATCTATTTTAGCATGTTTCAATATTTATTTCCTAAAATGGTTATTCTATTCTAGATTTATTCCAGAACTGTCTTGGCTCCAGAAAGTCATAGAAGTATCTTCCATCTCAGGCATACTGTTACTGTAATATGCCCTGGGCAAAACAAGCATTAGGATTCTAGTTGGATTGGGTGCACAGATCATTTATTATTTGCAGATGTCAGGACATTAAAACTTTCAATTGTTTTCCCACCAAACTGAATAAGGCAGTTTGTTAATACAATTACCTCTGTATAATTGGAGACTAAATCAATGATGACTGTGTGGCTTGAATGCTACTTTAAATAATTTCATTTTTATGATGTTGTTTTGTTGCACATGGTATTATCAAATAGCTTATTCATTTTCCTGCTGACTGTGATTTGAGTTTGCATATTTCTCTGTGATGGAAGAAGCATGATTGCAACCTTTCTAGTTTTCTGGGAAACAGTGTGCATTGCTTTTAATTATTTAGGCTGACACACATTAACACTTAAAGTCCATAGTCCATTGTGAGTGAAACAAGAGGGAAGGACTGGGTGGACAATAACTTCCCTGAAAAATAAAAGCAGCCACCAGAAGTCTCTAGCAAAGCCCTTAAAGGAAAACAAAATGTGGGGTAGACAAGGCACACAGAACTTGAATGTTACGAAGGATTTCCCCTACTCCTTTCAGAGGAGGAGCCCTAGTCATTGCCTATTTGGCTCTGTTTTAAAATATTTGGACAGGCAATAGAGAGGGGCTACACACTACTCAATCAGTCATGGTCTGTTTGGCTCTCACAAATTCACAGGATAATGTACTTTGCAAATTAAACTTTATTTTATAAGCTCATTAGGAAAGAAAGCAAACATAATGAAGAAAGGCTCAATCAAACTAGTCTAGCTCATGAATTCACTAATTCATCACGTCAGTCATGAGGTTTCTAACTCACAAGTTCTCTAATTCATAACATGCAATTCATTAACTTGTAACTCATGCACTTTGCATATGAGGAAAATACCTATCTAAGGGTGAGAGTGCTCATCCTTCTTCCTTGGTCACAGCGCAGGTGTTCTGTGTCACATGAGAAGCACACACATTAGTGTTTTATCAACACTGTTTTCATCACAAATCCAAAGCATAGCACCACACAAGCTACTATAAAAAAAAATTAACTCTATCCCAGTCATAGCCAGTACAATCTCCATACCTTATTCCCTACTATTAACATCATGCTCAGGTCCCATACTATCCAACAGATCCTCATTTTAGCCACCTTCCTCTTTCCCATCCTTTGATATCTTCACAGGTACCATTCCCTGTAAAATGTCTATATACCCCCTGTGAAATGTCCATTGAATTCATTTAGTCCAGGATATTAGGCTCTCTCTATTCTGGTGGTCACTCAGGACCAGAGAGCTGCTGTGTTGTGTGGAGTTATTGGGCACCGAAGGCACCTCAGGTCGGGTCACTGCTGCACGTGCCCCACTTCTTGCACGGCGTGTTCTGCACTGGCAGTGGTTCCTGCTACAGTAATCCTACAACATGCAACTCAAATCATAGTTTACAACAATTTAAAGGTGCATCCACTACAGTTTCCATCTCTGTTTGGATTCCTACCGTTGCCTCTGCTGCAGTGTGGACTTATCCAGAGACCCCAATTCCTTAGGGTTGGACCTGTTCCAGTGTGGACCTACTCATGGGCCACAGTCTCTGCAGGGTACAGGTGATGTGGCCTGGCCTTAGGCACAGCCACAGTCACTCTGAGGTGCACCTCCTCCAGCACAGCCTTATCCAAGTGCCACAGTCTCTCCAGGGGTGTACCTGCCATGCTACAGACATATCCATGGCCACAGATGCTTCTGCTCCAACAGAAGCTTATCCACAACCACAGACTTCAGATTGTCCTGCTCCTGCAGGGACTTACTCACAGGTCAGGTCCCTTCAATTCAAGCTGACACTGGAGCTGCAGCCTGTCTGGGCCAGCAGTGACACCCAGGCCATGGGCCAGCCCAGGCACATTGCCAGGGCTGTTATCAAAATGCTCCCAGGCACAGCTGGGTAGGATGATAAACCCTACAGCAAACAGCCAGAGTGAAAAGAAGCCACTAACAAGGCGTAGACTAATGTGCAGCAGGGCAAGCAAGACCTATGGCAAGCACAGCACCCTGCCAATTAATAGCTAAAGAGAACTAAAAGCTATAAATTCTAGCAAACTCTGACTAAACCTGTCATTACCTCAAAGCATTTGAGCCCCAAGTTGGTCACCAAATAGGACTGTCACGGTTTAATCCCAGTGGGCAGCTCAGCCCCACATAGCCACACGCTTACTTACCCCAGTGGGATGGGGAAGATAATTAGAATGGTAAAAGTGGGAAAATTTGTGGGCTGAGATAAAGGCAGTTTAATAGAGAAAGCAAAAGCCACACACACAAACAAAGCAGAAGAAGGAATTTATTCACTTCCTATCAACAGGCAGGCATTCGGCCATCTGCAGGAAAGCAGGGCTTCACTACAGGTATTGGTGACTTGGGAAGACAAATACCCCCAGTCCAAACATCACCCTTTCCTTCCTTCTTCTCCCAGCTGTATATGCTGAGCACAACATCATATGGTCTGGAATATCCCTGTGGTCAGTAGGGGTCAGCTGTCTCAGCTGTGTCCCCTCCCAGCTCCCTGTGCACTCCCAGTCAGCTCCCTGTTGGGGTAGCCCGAGAAACAGAGAAGGCCCAGACACTGGGCAAGCACTGCTCAGCAACAGCTAAAACATCCCCGTGTTATCTTTTATTTCTTTTAATACATTGTTCTCAATAATTTTTCAAATTGAAAGGCAGTTGATTTCTAAGGTTAAGTCATCAAGCTGTAACAAGACAGCAACTCTGACAATCACAGATTCAAATCATATCAATGCCAGCTTATTCTACAGGATGAGACAAGTACCAGCAGAAGATCATCTGCTCCTGACTTCTCTGAGTCAAATTTAAAGCTGAACTTTCCCCAAGAAGATTAAGGGTGTATATTCTACTTACTCATATTCATGTACAAAGTCTTACCACTTCCTGTATTTCCAGGGTTCCTGGGAATGAAATAATAACCAATACTTAATGTCTGGGATGTGGGAAAAGGATGTGGGCATATGGTAACTATTTCACTAATCCTAGAGAGAGGGTCTTCTCCACGAAGACACGAAAAAACCACTACTGTACTTCAGACTGTATGTTAGCCTCATCTAACCTGTAGATGGTAGGGGGTTAGGGAAGGTGAATTCCAGCCATGGTGGCTGAAAACCTGCCATGGTATGCCAGTTAGCAAGCAGGGAGCTATGGTCCATCTCATGACTGTGATGTAAGAAGGGAACAGAACTTGTGTCACATGTCATGCTAATGCCGGGCTGTTTGGTTTACATTGCATGCAGGGACCTCTGTAAAACAGAGGATGTCTTCCTACCACTGACTGAAAAATAGATGTTGCTTCACTGATTCCTTACATCAGTGTTTTTCTAGGGATATCACAGAGACTGATTTTAAACTAAAATTATTTTTAAAAAATTTAACATCAAAAGAACTCAAAATCCCAGATCCTCAGAGTCACTTCTCATTACAGTTTCAGTCAAAATAGTCACTGGTTGAAAGGTCAGCAATTCAGTGACTGAAGCTGACTTGGCAAGTTAGGACTTGTCTCCAACATTTTTCAGAGCTTTGAAAGTTATTTCAACAGATATTTTCTTATACTGCCCTTTAATCTGAAGGTACCCAAATTAGTTTTTTAAAAGTTTGTTTTTCAGCAGTAGGTGGCACTATCATAGTTTCCCAAATATTGTAATATAAATTAATATAAAAGTCTGTGCACATAAATTATTTTTAAAAGAACATGAAAATATATCAGAGTAAATTCTGATAATAAAATAAATATTTTTCTAAATATTACAATTGAGAAAAAGTCTAATGCAAGAATAGGAATGAGAATGTCTAATATCAAAATAGGCAACATGTAACATTGAAAATATGTATCATAAGAAGTTCTTTATCCTCTTTGTAAAGTAACATCTTGAGTTGTTCTTGAACATACTACTTCAGACACGTTGAATTTCCCAAACATTATATGTATTTCATTTGCATATAACATTTAATACTGCAATAGTGAGTGTCAATACATATAGAATAAGTTATGTACTTTTTGTAAGTTAAATTAATGTATGCAAACAGGAATATGGCAAACGGGAAAAGCATTTGGATCTTTCTTTTGTGGTTAAAAGTTTATACTTAGCAGAGACCAAAGCAGTACATAATAGTAGGGCCAGATTCCTCCATGTATACTATATGGGGATGTTACTATATCCCAAATAAACTTCAGGATTATAAAGATGCAATGTTAATTGAAAACATTTTCTTCAAAACTTTATTATATAAAAATCTGTGAAGGGCAACTCACAAACAAATCTGTGTTTCCAGGTATTCCAGATTGTCTGATGACACAAAATAGCAATATCACAAAAGCACTGCAGGTACTTTGCTTCAGGAGCTCCCAAAGCCATACACCTCATTCCTCAGCAGTGTACAGCAGGAATAATCCAGTGCAATGCAGCATTTTCATAAAGCTGGTTTTTGGATGATTGCCTTTCTCATTAGAAATGAAGTGCTGGTCTGCCTGAGCACAAGGTGTGAAGATAAGGAAAGAAGAAGAGAAATTAAGTAAGGAACACAAATTAAATATACAGTCAATGCTCTTTTATCTGCCTGACCAGAAAATGTCCTTGCCTTTTTTGTTTTTCACCCCAGGCTCCAAGCAAGCTGCTTGGCTCTGCATGCTATTTCTGCACTATGATACAAGCTATGCCAATTCCTAAGATTCATACTTCATTTTATTTTGTTTTCTATTAAATAAAGCATATAGAAAAGACATTTTTATAGCTTCACAGCATTTTTTCATGAACTGACATTGTGTATTACTCCTTTTGTGCTAACATGGTGTGCTTACTGTTTCTTTTATAATACTGAAAAAGTCAAAAGCTGGTACTTAATAAAAACATAATTTGCAAGGATCTGGCAGCAGCTGCATTCAAAAGGTTTTTTAACTTGCAAGAGCCTGCTTCAGTTTCTCCAGAATCTTCAACAAGAGCCCTTCTTGTTGGATTCACTTGGGTTCATTTTCAGACCTCAGAATAAAGTGGCACTACAAAAATAATATGCAGAAATATACTTTAAAATTTACTGTTTGTATTCCATTATAAATGATTCATTGTCACCTTGCATTCTACCTCCATGGAGTCAAAGCCATAGCATTGTAAGAGCTGCTTCAATATACCTAATTCATTCAGCTGCTAAGACCTCCACAATGTGTTTAGTGGCTCCATGGACATGCTTTAACTACATTTCCATTGTAAGGGAAGTGCTTCCACTACATCTTATACAGTTATCAAATATGCGTATAAGAAATATACTTAAATTGAAGGTTTTTATTCCTTCCAAGGGATATATAACTTTCATATAATTACAGCAAGCGGTATCTTTGGGTAGACACACAACTGCAACGTGAAGGTACCAAAGAACTTGCAAAGTACTACAGATGTATTGAATTTATACACTTGTGCTATGTTTTAAGTTGTAAAGTCACAGTCTTGTACCTTGAAGAGCAAACCTGAGATGTTCACCCTAGCCCAAAAAACCCAGCAGCTGTGCATACCCAAAGCAGGGTCTGAGAGAAATTCAGTGTAGTGCTCTAGCTGCAAAGCACAGAACTGAAATACCCACAAGGAAATAGGGAGATTTATCAGGTTTAGTAAGAGTGTCCTAATTCCACACTATTTGGTTCAATTAGTCATTGCAAGTAGTGTCAGAAATGGGCTCAAGGAGTGATCAAAGGATCATCTCAAAGGCACATATTGTCACATACTGTCAGCCAGGCTGCACACACAATGGCAGCAGACCCTTTTCGAAGTGGTATTCAGTGCACTGAACTGATTAACTGTTTGACTTTCAAGGGGAGTTCAGCTTGCTCTCTGGGTAATATAATTTACCATATGACAGGTGCTTTAAGATAAGACAATGCAATAATTTGGTAACTCTGACACGTGTAAGGATGCCAGCCTATGGCCTGTCTGCTCTAAAGCATCTTCCCTTACTTTTAGGCACACCCTGGCATGTACTTAGTTACTCCTGAGAAGTGGATGTGCTGGGGGCTGTGATGTGCTGCTTTAATGTGTGTTGCATATTAAATAGCCGGAAAAGGTTGAAAAATGGTATTAGGACTGGTACCACTGCCGCTCCGAGGAGAACCTCACCCAGAGCTACCAACTGCAAACACCTGGTGCGCATCAGTCCCGAATCTCCCTCCCTGTCTTTCGGCTGGTTTGATGGCTCGCTCGGGACCCCCGCCCGGCAGCGGTGGCCGGCGCACCCGGGGCGGGTTCCGGGGCTCCGCCGCGCCTCCGCGCTGCCCGCCGGGCTGCGGCAGCGCTCCCGGCTCCAGCGCCGAGCTCACAGCCTCGCCCGGAGCAGGGCCGCCCCCCCCTCACCGACACCCCAACAGGGGCTGCCCAGGGGCCCGGGCCCACGGCTCGGGCACGGGGCCGCGGACGAAGATGCCCGGCACGGCCGGCGCCGCTGCCGGGAAAGCCGCCACCTCCGCGGGTCCCGCGGGCGCTGAGTGGCTGCGCAGCCGGGCCGGGGCGGAGCGCGGGGGCGGCCGCCGTCCCGGCGCGGCCCCGTCCCCAAACAGTGCCGAGAGAAGCGGCGGGCGGTGCCGGGCCGGCGGGCGGTGCCGGGGCCGCAGCCGCCGCGCCGTGCCGGCCCCGCCACGGCGATGGAGGCGGCCGCCGCCGCGCAGGTGAGAGCGGCGCCGCGGCCGCGGGCGGACCCGGGCGGCGAGGGGAGGGGCGGGGCGGCCGTCACGAGCCGCGGAGCACGTGGGGCCGGCCCGCCCCCCGAACGTGCTGAGTCACGGTAGGGGCGGGGCCGCGCTGCCCGCGGGGCCGGGCCGGGCCGGGGTCAGCGAGGGCTGCCCGCAGCCGCCGCCCGCAGCCTCGGGAGCGCGGGGAGGGCCGGGCAGCGCCGGGGGCCGGAGCCTCCCCCGAGGGAGCGGCTGGGGAGGCGCCGGGGCCGGAGGGGCTGCCCGAGCCGGGTACAGCCTCGAGTCGCTGCCCCGGCGGGCCCGAGCGCTCCCGCTTCGCACTCGGGTGAGTTACCGCCGCTTGACGCTGCCGCACAGCCAGCGCTGGCCCTGCGCGGCTCCGGGCCCGCCTTCGGGTCCGGATCAGCCCGGGCCGGCTGTCCCGGCACCCCCGCCTGCTGGAAACCCCCGCCGGGCTTTGGGCACTGGGCAGCCGGAGCCGGAGTGGCCTCTGCCAGGGCGAATGTCCCGGGGCTCAGGGGTGTTTGTGGTTTGTACTCACGTACTGTGGAGCCTCTTCTCTCGAAGCCGGGGGGAGTTCAGTACTGTTGTGTTTCAAACTAGTTGCACAAGAGCTGCGTGAATAACTGAAAGCATAATTGAACTCCATTATAATTTTATATAATTGTGCTTTTCTTGGGCGTTTGAGTAGAAACATATCAACAAAATGTTAGGTTTAAAGAAGTAATACTTAAAAATTGTTCTGGAGCTGCTTTAATTTTTTTCTTGCTTCAAACTTATGACTCAAGTGTTCTCATGCTCTTCTAGTATGTGTTGGTATGCATATGCTGTGCAGTAGAGTTTCTTCTAAGGTTGTCCATGCTTTAGGATATATAAGTGGGTACTTCTTACAGGTACTATGACTTCAGCAGTATTGGATGTACCTTTTTCTGTTCATTGGGTAGTTCCTTTCGAGTCTTTGGCTGCTCGTAACTCTGCTGGGCCCGTCTGTTTTTCTAGCCCTGGGTAGCACAGCCATGACCTCCACCTTGCCTCTTCAGTTTGTTGGCAAATACTACAACAGAAATCACTGTCTCGGCCGGTGCTACGTAAGCACCCTGTGAATTTGGTTTTGCCTGTATTATCCAGGCACTTTCAGTGGCATTCCTGAAGTACTCTTAACAGACCAATTCCTGCGTATATGATTCTGTAACTTCTTCACCGATATCCACTGTGACTTCTCTTCCAGAAACCTCGCTTTTGTTACTCATTTGCCTGCTTTGTCAAACCTTCTCTCTAAGCCACCTGTTGCACTTTTCCTATCTGAGCTCAGCAGCAGCTGATTGCTTCTCTTGCAGACCTAGCTTGAAAAGGGAGTGTGTTTTTTAGATAGCAACTTATCGTCATCTTTGACATATATAGCCCTAAGTGTATTCATTAAATGGAAAATTCACATACCCTGTACCATAAAATGTTCACTCCCAATGAACAAGGGGGGGACACAATCTGCATTTAGCCCCTCAGATTTTGCAAGCTGGCAGACGGGAAGGGTGTTCTGAGTGTCTGTGTGCCTGGCAGCAGTAGTCATAGCAGTGAAGGTGAGTGTGTAGAGGTTGCTCAAACTCCTTAACCAGAATATAAAACCTCCACTTTCAGCTATGTACTTCTGGGGGTGTTAGCAGAACTATTGCCCGCAGTATTCCTGTAAAAAGTATTTCCTTGTTGTACCTTTCTGCCTGGAAAGAGGATGCACTTACGTGCACAGAGGTGAAATGGAATGTTGCCCACATGGACCTTAAACCATCCAAGAAAAAAAGCTTGCAGTGGAACAAGCAGTCTGGATGTTTCAAATCACACTTGAGAAGGCAGGACTTAGTAGCTTTTCTCTTCAGTAAATGTGAATTATTGGAACAGTTTCCTGTTACCTTGTAAAAAAAGCTCAACAAGCCACTTAGTTATTAAATTTTGAACCTCACAACAAGAGGGCAAAAAGAATTCCCTTTCCAACACAATGAAGCTGTGGGTTGAACTAGATTGGAAGTAAGCCTAATTGCAACAACTAGCAAAACCAAGTGGATAAATAACTGAGTGTGCATGCAAGTGTATCTGTTAGGTTTTTTCTACCTAGAAAGCTGTCCTGAAGAGTCTCCAGCTTAATTAGTGTGATCTCTTCAGTATAGAGGGCTTTAATGAGGAATTACACATACTTTTTCTTGACCCGCTGCATTAATTTGTCAAGTGAATGGGTTTATTTTTATTCTCTTTTTTATAGCCTTTCATTTCCACATGAGGGTAGATTCTGTGGGAAAGCTGAGCAAGTAACCCACTCAGGACTGGCAGCAAGTCTTTGCTTTTTGGGTTGTTGAGATGCTTTTTCTTATTTAGTTTCTTGATAATGAGATTTAATAACATTATTGAATAAGATCAATGTATCTGTAGATACATCTATTCTTGTATCTCTGTGCATGAAATCCAAAAATCCCCACATTTCTGAATATATTGTTATCTACTAAAATGTAGGACAAGTTTGGAGGAAGTACATGAGAGAGTATCACAAGCACTTTTTTAAGTAAAAATGCATTTATTTTGACATTTCTAGTAGTTCTGTGCTCACCTTGCTATTGAGCTGTATTGGTAGAGCTTTCTTTCCTTCAAAACTCATGAAATAATATGTTTCAGTTAAGCCAGTGTTAGCTATAATGCAGTGCAGCATGTTTGGCTGAAATGAATGTTGCCCAGCAGGAGTTGATCTTGTCAATCCATTAAGGAGAACAGCTAATTGGATATTATTGTTATTAGTGTAGTAAATATCCATTATATGAATCCTGTTCTATAGCAGATCTTTAAAATGTGCCAAGAAATTAACAGTTGTATTGGAAACTGGAGGAAGTGCAAGTTCATTGTCTCAGAAAACCTGACTTGAAGAAATTAATTTTTACACTCAAAGTTGAAGAAGAGATTGGCTTTAAAAGTTTATTGGGAAATGTTTGAAGAGACCAAACTGGAATAAAAAAAGAGCATTCATTGTAAGCAGAAGGCAGCTGGCTGTTCTTGTGTGATTTAAAGAAGCTGAGGTGTTTTTATAGGGCTGTGTGGGTGGTTAGGAAGGTTTGTGTTCACTTCCCACTAATGTTCATGGGCAAGAATAAATTTTTGCTTTCCGTCTCTTACTTTATTCTTTTTTAATTGAAAAAATAGAGATGCTGTAAGACTCATCCTGAATCCTGTGGGTTATGTATAACCCTGAAAGACAAGGAAATTATTATTGTATCTATTGTTGCACCTGAATACCGGTTTGATTTCTTTTACTTTCTGTAGTTCTTAAATTTGCAAAATAGAAAAATATCTGTTTGATTGGTACTGCTACTTTCGTGATCCTGACTGAAGTTAATGTAGCAATAGTATCTTGAACATACTTATTTTGTTAAAACAATGTCAAAAACCTTTGCGGAGTATGCTGGGCTTTGTAAGGTGATGTTGAGGAACACTAGAAGTGGAAGGACCCAAGCGAAGTATTTGTTTTGAGTAAAATCAATTCATGCTATTCCTTTCTAGAGTTTTTCATACATAGTTGTAAAATTTTGTTGTATTTGTTCCTTCAGTAGAATTAAGAAAACTCAAAATAGCAAAAGCTGTTGGAGTTTGTCACTGAAAGTTTTTGGAATGCAGTAGACTTCATAAGGAGAATGATAAGTCAATTGCAGGCTCAGAGAAAGGTGAACTTGAGGGAGAAGGAGAAAATACGGAAAGTCCAGAAGAAGATGCCAGTAAATGATGCCACATGTACCCATACTTGTAACACTTGGTGTGTGACTCATTGTGAAGAAGAAATTAGTTTGATTTTTGTATCTTGAGCACTGCTTATTTAGGTTTTTTTTCTCTTTGCAATTATAAATATAAGCTTTAAAATTATTAAACCATTCACTAAATTTAAGCCAATTTGTGCAAGTGTGATGTATTTCCAATGATTGTCTTGGCTGAAGCCAGTACAGTACAAGTTCAGGCAGTAACCCATTGGCATCAATTAAATATTAATCCCTTGCTGATTGAGTTACAGCCAGCAAGAAGTCCTGCAAAGTCTCTGGGTTAATCACCTGGTTAAAGTTTGCTTTGGCCTCCATCTCATTTCAACCCTGAGTAACCTATTATTTTAATGTAGCACATTCCTAGAAAACTTGAAAGGGTTTGAAGTCTGTTCAGTTTTCTGATCCAGTATATTATACCAAAGTTGTACTTTGTGCCACAGAATGCCACTTTAGGTGAAGGAGAAAGAATATGGCACCTTGGTCGGCTTAGTCCTTTCTCAGCAATAAACTGATTTAATTGGTTTTGAAAACACTTCATTTGCTACATCTGCAAGTCTTTCAATATGACCAATGAGAAGTCATGGAGAAGGAGCTGGCAGTCATGACTTTGAATTTGTGTTATCCAAGGATGTCTGATATACAGTGAGCCACAATGCTGCTCAGGGTTGCTCAACTGCAGTTCTTTTATGGCATATTTGTTTCATTAAGGTAAACAATTAAACCAGTGGCAAGAACTGAAGGTGGCAGTGCAATCTGTGGTGCATAAAACTGCTGAAAACAGTGGAAGGCTTATCTGGAACAGATACTGGTAAATGCATTCAGTTCATGATAGGCATTGTGTACTTTCAGCTTTCCTACCCAGTAACTGCTTTCTGTATGGGAAAAGCAAAGCTAGTGACAGTCACGTATTAACTAGCAGTAGCAAGAATTTAATTATCTTATAGCACTTAAGCTTTTCTAAAGTAAAGAGCCATGTTACTGCTCTGTGCAGCACAGTAGTAAAACAATCAGACCAACACCTATTTTTCTATATCTGTGATTTCTAGATACATATTTCTTAATTTTTCTTTACTATTCTTTAAAATATGGAAATTTAAAAATAGATTCCCCATTATATTATCTTGTTTTAATATTCCTTTAGTTTGACTTTGAACATATGTATGCCCACAGTGGCCATTTCAAATGGAAGCCAAGTGTCTCAGAACCATACATTTAAATTAAGTATTAATTTGGCACCATATATTTAATTAAATATTAATTTGGGTAGCCAAGCAATCTGTGACAACCTCTAGTACAGATAAAAGTGTTTAATTATTTGATTTGGGGAGGGGCATGTGTCTTTATCTTATGAAGGATCTTCTGTTTTCGGTCTTTTGCCATTTTGAATTCTTGGTGAAGTATTTTCTGTTTTCTTTCAGTGACACATTGATTTTCCAATGTTACATGTCAATACATTGGCTTTGTATTTGCCTCTTAATTTATATGCTAATATTTACTTTAAAATTCGCTTTAAAATACTTAGATGTTTTAACATGATGTTCTGGAGATCTTGGAAAGCTATTAGGAATAATAAGAGTGTTAATAATTCAAAGTTAAGTTAGCATTGTCCTACCAGCAGAGTATAACTGCTGCTCAGTAGTATATTACTAAACCCTAACATAAGTACTAATTGGCACAGCTCTAGTAGAAAGGTTTTAGCTTTAAAATAATACTTATGTGGCTGCAATTTATGCACTACAGATACAGTTGAAAATTTTTGTTATGTCTGTTCAGATTTCTGATTTTTGCCTGATTTGCTGCAGTTTTTATAATGGGAAGAAGGGATATGAAAGAGTGTTGATTTAGCAAAGTTACTTGGAAGGTACTGTAAATGATAATTGATATTTTCTGGCTTTAAATGTAAACTAAAACGAAACCATTTCATAAGCTGTGTCTTAGTTGTGGATGCTGTTGCAGTACTGGGGGAGTTGAAACCACTCAACCTTGTACGTGTCTTGCAGTTAGAATTTTAGCCTAACTTCTGCTGTGTTATTACCAATCTAGTTAAAAAAGAGAAGAGAAAGGGAAAGAAAGTTCCTTCATGATTGGAGTTGCAGCAACAGAGTTATGTAAGATCAGTTTGAAACCATCTCTTTAAAACCTTTTAAGGAAGTATCTTCTGTATTGCTATGAAATGTACAGATATCAGCTTTTCCCTCCATCCCCCCCCCGCCCCCCTTTCTGTCTTGCAGTTTCAAAGTTTTATTGCTGTTTGCTGTATTGATTTTACATGCTGTCTCTTGTAAGTATAACAAGAATTCTGCTCCTGGAGACAGCTTGCGAAACAAAGTTTGTATTCTTGGGTAATTGACTCAGAAGGAGCTTGGTTGATAGTGTGCCTATAAGAGGAGGTTTTTTTATGATTAAGGGTGTGTCTATTTGCCATGTTTGAAAATTAATACCTATGAAATGTTAAAGCAGTGACTTCAACAGCTGAGTTATGTGAAAAGTTGCTGTGACTTTGATTTGCTTCCTGCTCAGGTCATTGCCACCATTTTGCTGTAAAGAGCTATGATAAAAATATTGTGGGGTTTTTTTTGTTGTTTGTTTGAAACCTTGTGGTAAAATGAGTATCCTCCTACTTATTTCTGTAATTGGAGTGGAAAGCTTCCTGTGCTGCCTGGGCTCCCCATAGGGGGATCCCCATTCAGAATTCCAAGGCAGCATGTGGCTGGTGCAGGTGTGCCCCTGGGAATGCTGCCTGCTCCCGTGTGAGAGGGCCAGTTTCAATGTCTGCTCTGCAGCCAGCCACCTGGGCAGGGGCACTTCATCATTGCTGCTTTCTGCCTTCAGGAGCTGTTTGCTAGACAGAATTTCGTTCTAAATCAGGGTATTTCCAGTTGGATTGTGGGCAGTTATGTGACCAGATGACGCGTTCCACAATCAGCTGGGTAGCAGAACAATGGGCAAGAGAGGATGGCTGGGATGAATGGGTGGCTCTGAAGGCTGCTGCAGCTCAGCTCAGAAGGGTAAGATTTTCGGATGCTTCGTGGCTGGAAGGAGAACACGGAGACTGTAGCAGCAGAGGTCATCCAAGACCTGTCAGTAGGGGTGTTCTGCCCCATTTTGTGACACTAATGCTTGACTTCACCACTGTCACGGGGGAGTCACTGACATGTCTGCGCCATTGCAGATAATACATGTTCTTGGTACAAGTGTACTGTAGACCCTGGTGCAATCTATTGTGAATTACTTGACATGAGATGCATGGACATGTTTTCTTGCGTATGACACACAATTATATTCACACTTGGCTTTGTTTCTGCTGTAGATGGGTCTCGAGATCTGTGTCAACTGAGGAATTTCTGGAAGATTGTCCCGCTGATATTTGTAAAAGAAATCAAACAAACATGCATAAACTTTTGAAACACGTAGGATTTAAGATGCCAAAGGATGAAAATAAAAGTAAGTTAGTAACAAAAATGGTGCTAGTAAAAAACATAATATGAAAACCAGAACTTATATTTGAATCTAAATCAGTATTTCTGACAGCTTGTCTTCCAAGTTATTTAAATTTAATTATTTGGCTATGGAAATGCACATTGTATTAATGTGCCTTATAGCTGTGTAACATGGAGAATTCCATCACAGTGACTTCTGATATTGTGCTTTCTATTTTGGTTTTAGTATTCAAACTAGAATGTTATCAGGTTAATTCTTCAGCTAGTATGAATTGTTGTGACTCAGTGAAATGTTATAGTACCATGGAATGTTTTCTGTCTTGATTTGTAATCCTTTATCATCAACCACTTCAGGAGTCCAGTCTGCACTGACCACACTTGGGAGTCTTAGCTCAGCTGACAGCTGGTGCATACATCTCTGACCTCTTTCATCTCTCCAAGTTTCTTTTTGTTGGCGAAGTTAAGAATGGAAGCCACTTAAATAACAAAACTGTGAATGGAGTGCTTCAGATTATTCTGAAACTGTCACTAAGGTCAGACCCACAGAATTATCTTAAATTCAAAATGAAGCTTGGGATGAGAGTTTTTGATAAAACGGGCTATGAGTCTCCTGTATACTCCAAGGGGACAGACATGGAAAAAGCCCCAAGGAGAGGGGCGGGTGGTGGAGGCTCTTGATTTGGATAGAAGGACAGTTGAGTTTTGCAGTTTTGTTGCTCTTTGGAAGACATTGAGCATTATTTTGGCAAGAGGTATAAAACCATTTACCTGCTCTGGTTTATGCTTTGGAAGATCCTTTTGCTTTCAGAATTTATAAATTGAAAAGTGAGGGTTGGAATGCGCCACATAGACAAAGCTTTAGTTTTCTACCCTGTTATTGTTCACTTCCTCGGTGGGTTTACCTTTTCTAAGCAAAAGCTGTCATTGTGACAGAAATGATAGATTGACATGCAGACGCCTGACTTGTTGGCCCTTTTTGAGCTTTCTGAATTAGTTGTTTAACTTTGCAGGACCTTGATGTGAAAGTGCTTTTGGGGGCTGATGATTTCTAGAGGCTTGCTTTTTGCAGATAAATGTGTGGATTACGAGTGCTTAAGAAATGAAGGATAACTCGTATATCTTGGTGTGGTTAGAGAAGAAGGAAAAGCTATATGAACTCTTTTCATGCAAATTAAATAATGATTTCTATGATGCTTTGAGTAAATTTAGGCAGAGTGTTCTTGGCCAACAGTGCACAGTTGAATGGTATTCTTACTGACTGAAGTATGTCACTAGTGAAGGCTGTTCGCAGTGTCAACTTAAGTTCATAGTGCCATTTAACCAAGAATTACTCTTTTGGAAAGATATTGCCAGCAAAGCAAAAATGTGCCCTTCTGGGTATCCCTTTCTCAAATCTGTTATGATTCTGTACTGCCCAGTGGTGAGCAGTTGAATAGTAATGTATTTTTGGCCCATTTTCTGGGTTTGGTTTCTTTTCCCCTTGCAGAAACTAATCAAAAAGTGTATTGGAGGTTGAACACTCAAAAAAAACCCCAAAAAAACAAAAAAAACACCCTGCAAGAATTGTGCACTGACTGAATTCCCAGTGCTGTCTATATGGATTATGTATGTGAAAAGGGCACGTTAATTGCAGGACTGGCTCACTGTTTAACACCTGTGCCCCACAGACTGTGCAGAGGGAACTGTGTACCTATATACTCTGCCAGATGTAGGCACATCTGGAGCAAACACTGTTCCCTGCAATATAACCCTATTCTTAAGCTTTTAGTCTTAAGATAATGCTCCTGCCTGATGAGGTGTTTGTGTGGAATTTCCTTGATGCAGCCACAGTAGCTGTCTGTTTCTGAAAGAGGGCTGCTGGTTATGTGCTGGCAGGACACTGGGTGAGCCTCATTGCTTTCTAACTCACCCAGGCACTCCAGTTGCTTGCCACTGTAGTTTGGTCCACAAACAACAATTTCAAAGCAAGTTGCTTGTGAGATGAGCAGGGTGGAAGTTGACAAGACGTGCTCCGGTAGTGTCAGAGTGTGCAGTGTCCACATCCAGCCGTGCTGCAGCTGTAGTGACCCAGCTGGTGCTGTCCCTGTAACTTGCCCGGCCATCAGCAGAACGACAGCTGGAAATGGGGATTTTAAACTAAGATGCCAATGCAGTGAAAACGTGTGGTACAAGAAAGATACAATCCTGGAGAATATATGGACCCTCAAACAAACACACAGTTTTCATGTTTGGTTTGAAACATGCTTTTCCAAAAGGTGTTGAAATCAAATAGTGGCTAATAGGTTATAACCCAAGATTTATACAACCTAATGTTATTTGCAGATTTTTAGGTTCTTTACTCTGTTTCTGTGTTCATTTTGCTTCCTGATTTTTTTTTTGTTTGATTGGATAAAATAATGTGCTATAATTTGACTGGATCATGTTTCCCAGATGACTGAGCCATTATTATAAACAAATCCTCTTGTGTATAAACTAGTGAGTATCCTGTGGCAATGTCTGCAGAGTACATGTTTGGCTGGGTGTAGCAGAATAGCTTAAAAGATAATATTTTCTATATTGAACCTACAGTATTGGAAAAACAGTTACCTGTTAAATTAAAGTGGGATGCAAAGGCTTATGTATTCCTGTGGTTAAAAGATCAGCAATATTTTTTTCACATTATTTTTTTACATATAGGGTTTTGTTGGGTTGGTGGTGGTGTATAAATGACAAAATTCAATAAATGCCTGTTTCATTATGATGCTGTATTAACTTGGGAAGAAAAAACCCTCCAAACACAAATAAAGGCATTAAAGCCATATTTTGTTTCAGGAAAAGCTGGTCTGAGATGGCTGCTGTTTGAATACCTTTCAGAATGGAGTTATGTGGTGCAGTACATGGACATTAGACAACAGCTTCAAAATCAGCCACAGCAGAATTGCTCACTTTACTTGCTGGGGCAGCACAACAGAATTTTTTTGATGTATCAAACAAAATCAAATAGACGTACTGACCCACTCTTGGTAAACAATCCTGTATTTTTGCCAGCCTCCCAAGTTCATTATGCAACTTGTGTAATAGATTGTAACTTGAATACATATTAACTTTTTGTGCATATTGACTTAATTTTGTAATGCTGCTGATGCAAGATAAAGAAATAGCAAGTCAACTCCGTTAAGCTGAATGAATGATTCAGAATTGGAGTGTAAGGGACTGCAACACTACTTACCAGATATACAGTAGAAAAGTGAAAATTGGGTTAACACTATAAAATCAAGACTGAAAGGGAAAAACAGAACCTATTTAATTAAAACAGCAAAGTTCTGAAAACATGTATGGCTCATTGCTGTAGATACAGATGATTCAGAAAGCACTCTGGGATGTCAAGAGATTTAGGACTAAGTTTGAAGAAGTGGGATGACAACCATGGCCATTTTTAGCTTTTTCTGAGCAGCCATGGTAGCACTTGTAAATATGAGCATCATTCAGTTTATTCAAGAAAATGCATTGTTATCAGTTTACTGTGTTAGTCATAAGGAAAAGAATAAGGTCTAAGGCAGAAATAAGATAATTTGGAGCAGATAAAATGCATGATAGATCTGGTCCTCAGTACTAGAGGAGGATAACTTTGGAAAAATTAGGTACTGGACAAAGAAAATATGTACCAATGTCAAACTTAAGATTTTGTTTTCTGTAAGCTGTTCAAAGGAGACAATGGATTTGGGATTTATATATATATATTTTAATTTTTTTTTAAGTACGTTGAGGTGGGATCAGTCCAGATCCCATTCAGCCTCTGGCAACCAGCAATCTGTATTAAACTCCTACTAAACTACTATTTTAAACCCACTATCTCAAATATATATTGATTAAACAATTTAGAAAAGCACAGCTGCTTCTGGAGTGTCTGAGATCGTGGAAGAGTCTTCTGCAGAAAGATCTGCAGCACTGAGCAGGAATCCCCTGATCTGTTGTACTGTAAATGGTCACTTCAAAGCAGACCAGATGTGGTGGGAAAAGGACACAGATATATCTTTCTAACTATTGATTATGAGATTGAGCCAATGATGAGAGTATTGCTCCTGCTGCTGTGCCCCAAGCATAAGGCTTATGTGTCCAGAATTTTCTTCTGTAATTAACTTACCTTGAAAAATATTTAGAAAACAAAACGGTAGTTATGGAGAGTCCAGAGATCATCTGAAAACATTAAATTATTTATAAATAATTCTTGAAAACTACTTGAACAAAATCAGTTCCTCCAGAGGATAATGAGGTGAAAACCTTCAGCTGTTGCTTCCACTGAGCTTTTCTTAACTGAGAAGATGCTGCCAGCTCCTCATGTACTTGCCTTATTGTTGGCCTCCTTTTCATTCTTGCCTTGAAGTGTCTGAGGTCCTTGAGCCTGTCTCACTTCCAACATGTTTTTTTTTTATTAAATCAGAAATGTAAGGTGCTTTTTTCTTCATTCCCTTCTCTTTCTGGAAAACATAAGAAGTCAGGGATACTTAGTCCTGTTTCTTTCTGTGGGTAAGCTGTAGGAATTCTTCCCTGCTCCTGGTGCAGTGCCGACCTGAGCTCCCTGCTGGATGCATTAGCCATTGATTCTGCTGCTCTTCTCTTGACTCCTGCTGGCATGGGAAATCATCTGTCTTCGTGGGGTTAGTTGCTAACAGATCATGGGAAAGGAAAGCAGATCTGTCTGGTGGGAGATTTTGTTCCGGTTATCTCAATTTATGATGCAAAAGGCATCACTTGAGAAGTAAATGCACCAACATCACAATGTGCTCTGGATCCAGGAGATAACTTACAGTGGGTTAAAGGTGCTAAGGTGTTTCTCTGCTTACACTTGGGCTGCTGGATGTTTCCATTCTAGTAAGGCTACCTGTAAATGGCTCATATTCCAAACAACACCAAAACCAGTCAGATAAACCAGACAGGGATGAAACAAAAGATTAGCATTTTGTTTAAAGCGCAGAAGTCAGTTTGTGAAAGTAACATGAAAACAGGGTCTCTTTCCTTTGTTTACCCTTCTGCAAATGTTTGCTTAGGAGCAATAAGAGTTAATTGTCAAACTTTACAATGTAGTCAGAGATTTTCTCATAAAATGTATAACAGATTCTGCCCAGATGGCAAATGCTGATATGTAAATCTAAAACATGAAAATTTCCATTGGGGGCCAGATGGTGGCTTAATGTGAATTGTTTAACATTTATGTTTATCTTATTAAAAGTGCCTTTATATGTCCAAACTAAGCTATCAATGTGGTTGGAAGAGCATATCTCTAAATGAACAGAAAAACCATTGGTACAAGGCAGCTCCTGCTTACATGGATCATGGGAAAGCAAACATGTCTTCTGTTGAGAGAAGTTGATTCTCTGTCTTCAAAATTGCAAAGAAAATCAAACCAAAATCAACCAAAATCAAATCACTGTTTGTCTGCTTGGGAAAAGTCTTAAACCCATGCCATTTTCTCCAGTTAGAAATATTGGATCAGTAATACACAAATTGAATCCCATAGTGCATTTGCCCTTGGCCAAGGCGTTGGTGTTGGGAGGGGAAGAGCTGAGCTCCAGGCGCGGGGGAAGCACCGGCTGCACTCCCTCCTGGGCACAGGCTGAGCTCTCTGCCAAGCCCATCATTTCCTCTGATGCAATCCAAGGAGTTGCACAATGGAGGGAAGAACAAGTGGGTGCTTGTGGAGGCTGTCACATGAGGCTGTGCCTTTGCAGTGGATGTGTCTGATATTGGGAAGTGGTCAGCCTGGCTCTGAAGGGCAGCAGCCAGCTCTGGGTCAGGTGAATCTTTCACAGGACTCTTGGTGCACGTGTTCCAGTTTGGATGCCAGTCTGTGCTCATTTGTCCTTCCAAATGAGTCTTTTTGAAACCAGCAGGTCATGTTGAGGCATCTAAAAATCAGCTGGTCGCTCTTGCACAGGAGAGAACACATTTTAATAGCTCTAGTTTTAACACTCCAGGCATGGAGTACATGGTTACTTCTGGGATACTTTAACAGTAGAAGGGGAAAATTGCTTTAGTGGAGAACCTAAGGTAGAATGCCTGCCTGTGTGGGCACCTCTGTGTATGTGTGTGCTGGTGTTCAGCAAGGCAGGAAAATAAAGAGGAAGACTGTGGGGAGGCTAAAAGAACAAAATTGCAAAATGTTTGCTTTAGACTGTGAGGGTTTTTTTAAGAGTTCTTTGCCATTACCGCGTGCTTGTGGTTGTGATTCATTCCTTAGTGAATCACTTGTCAATGTTGACTCCCTTAACTTTAACCTGAGGCTTTGGACTAATAACCAGAATACTTTTTTTTTTCTTGAAAAGGGAAGTATTACTAAAAGCATTGGTTAAAATTTTAGATAAGTATTAAGTAGCAGGTTAATATTTAAGTCAGTGTGCTGTTAGGTACTACATATCAGCATATTGACCAGATGAACACTTCCTCCATGTAGCACATTTATGTTAATAGTAATTAGTTGAATTGTTATTCAAAGACTAATATTGCTGTATTTATGTACAACTTTTCAAACTGAAAATAGGAAAGCTCTTTTCCAGTTACATGGTAACAAAAACAAAACAACCCATCCTTTTGGTTTTAAGTGTCACTAGCACAACTAAATAAAATTTTAAAGTGCTCCTGACAAGCAGTGCCCTCCAGAGTAGAGCATGACACTGTTTGGCAAAGCTCAACTCTCTGCTAGAGATAAGACACTGACCTAAATATGGTCCCTTGAAAAATGATGACAGGAGCCAATCAGTGCTGTCATATTTGTCAAACAACAGCTTAAGATCCTGACTATCTTGATAACTATGCAAGCATATTCATTCAGAAAAGAATCCTGAACTGACTGCTGCACACACAGACAGGCAGTGGTGTACAGCCACAGCATTTTCTTTGGTCAACTGGTGTCTTTGGAGGCATCTCATCCCACAAAGGAGGCAGCACCCAAAGTTACTTACTTTGATAATGAATGTTGCCATTAGAATGGCTGAAAGAGGTAATAGCTGGGTCTTACCTTTTTGTACTAAGGCTGCATGGATTCTCTTCTTAAAGAAAATGTGTTTTGCCTTCTGTAGCTACAGAAAGAAAAACTTTTTTTTTTCATTATTTAACCTGAAACAGAGCAACAGTTCTGATATTTTTGTATGTTGTACACACACATGCACAAAAAAATCTTTTGAGTCACATTTTTAATGGTGCTTTGTAAATGAATAATTCAGAAGTGAGCCCTAAAATCCAGATCCTGCAGTTTTATCTAGAACATATTGCAAATGCTCAGAGACTAGGAAACACTTTTGGATCTGCTGCAGAAGGAGGCACTGAGCAGCTGGTAAACTACTGGCCCTTAATGAAGCTATACCATATTGCAGTATCTCCAATTGCTGCAGAACTTAATTAGTTCATTTTACCCTGCCAATCTGGAAAGACCAAACATTGTCTTGGGCAGCCATGGTAATAATTTCAGCTTCTTCATTGCTGGCTATTAAAGCTGAGTTTGGTCTCTCCCAGCAAGGTATATTAAATATGTTTTAGATTTGGAAGTGCCTGCATTGTGTTACACAAAGATATTTTACATAATTACCAAATTTTAGTGAAAATATATTTTTTTAGTCATTAGTAGAAGTCGTTCATGCCACGTGGAATGAGGACACTGAATTGGTTTGTTCAGATGTGGACTTGGCCTAAAGCTTTTTGCCATAACTGTTGTACAGACGTGATCATTTTGAATGGCCGCATGAGCTGGCATTCAGGTTACTTTGCTTCTCCATTTGAAAATAACCTTCAGAGAGAAGAGAATGTTTTAATTTGATATGATGGCAAAAAAATTCTATCTTGGGTGTAGAGCTGCTGAATGAATCAGGAAGGTTCTGTTTAGGTGAAATGCAGTGTTTGGTGTATTACTTGTAGAGTGTTAATCTGATGAGGATGCCCAACGCTGAACATTAGTTTCACATGCTGCCCTAAAGGGTGATTTTAAGCATAATGAAACATGATGTAATATCAAAAACTTCCAGGCACCAGCTAAATGGTTGGCAAATACCCATCTGAGAAACATGGCTGGCAAGTATTAAAATTCTCTATCGCAGGCATACAAATGGATACATTTTGAGTGTTAGAGTGTTTTCTTCATAGAAGAAAATACTCTAGACTTCAGCCCTAAGAATACTGATGATTTGAACAGTAAAAAACTAAACCAAAAGAATTCACTAAGCCCCTTGCCCTTCCCCCCTCCCTGCAATAAAAAACCTCAATGCAATAAATTAAAAGTAATTGTAGCCGTAGCAAATAGTATTAAGCAATTGTTCTTTCCTAAATAGCAGAATTCCGTTTGGACTCTGTGATGAGCCAGGGGCCGACACATTAACACTATTTGAGACCCTGCAACCACTGTTTATACTCAGGTGCTCCAAACCAGCCACATTTAGGACATCAGCACAGACTAAGCTTTAAATTACAATGTTTTACTAATAGTCTTAATAATTTTCTTTAGTGCTAGTGATGTTATATCACTTGGTGTGTTTGAAATCAGATGCTCTTGCAGCTCTGAAGCTCTGTTCTGCTGATCTTTAAGATTAATACCAGAATGGAACATTACTAATCCAAAATACATTTTCCAGTATGGCTATTATGGTTACTTCAGGAAGCCTCCATCATGTTTTTAGGCAGCTTTTTCAGTTTTACAAGAACATGTGAAAAAAAATTTACATGGTCATATTCTCTCATGGTCAATTTCTCTCTTTTCTCCTAAAAATTACTTTGTGACAAATTCATTCTGTATCTTTATGTTTTCTAGGAAACAAGTCAAAAAAGAATAATATATTTATCCTCTGTATTGCCTTACCAATTGTAATAAATTCTTGGTTTCTGCGAGCCTGTGTGTGAGCCACAGAAACCAAACCATCAGATCACACACTTCAAAAAGGTCATATAGAGCCATGTTTTATTTTGGTAATTTTGTAGGATTAAGAGAATAAGCTTCAGTTATATAAGTCTACCCATTTGACATAGAGATTTAACGCTTTGCTGTTGTTCTAAACCAGTTCTGCCTGGGAGGAACTTGCTTAAAAAAAGCATTTCTGTTGCAGGACATGAACTTGATTGACATCCTTTGGAGGCAAGATATAGACCTTGGGGCAAGACGTGAAGTTTTTGATTCCAGGCAGCGGCAGAAGGAGTATGAACTTGAGAAGCAGAAGAAACTTGAAAAGGAAAGACAAGAGCAGCTCCAAAAAGAGCAGGAGGAAGCCTTGCTGGCTCAGCTGGAGTTAGATGAAGAGACAGGTGAATTTGTTCCTGTGCAGCCAGCTCAGTGCATTCAGTCAGAAAATCCTGAGCCACCCGTTGCTTTCTCACAGGTAAACTCCAGTGGTTTGAGTGTGTTTAACCCTTTCCATTCACAGGAAGCATAATACTAGTGGCTGCCTAAAATGAATTTGCATGTGTTGCTGTATTGGATGATCTTCTTGTACTCAAAGATGCAGTAACCTTTTTTCATAACTTTCCTATTTAGACCACAGAGCCTTCAAAACAAGAAGCAGAGGCCTTGTCCTTTGATGACTGCATGCAGCTCTTGGCAGAAGCATTCCCGTTTATAGATGAGCATGAGGTAAAATGCACAGTTCAGTGGTTTCATGGGTGGTTTTCCATGGGGTCAGTCTCATGTCTTCTATAAGATTTGTCTTCAGCATAAGACTAATTTATGATCTGAGTTTTCTTCTCAAGCTGGCTCCAGCTGGCATAAAGCAGTGAGTAGACCTGAGCCTGTTTTTATAATATTCCATTGTATTAAAAAACTGCTTTCCTTAAGAAAAATCGGTTTGTTCTGCAGAAATGGTAGAACTCCAAAAACTAGGTTTTTGCTTTAGAAGATGCACATCTGTTTTTTTGAGTGGGTTTTTTAGTTGTCATTGTTTTGTTCGGCTTTTTAATTATTTGTTTAAACCCTTCAGGCTTCTTCAGCTGCATTTCAGTCAGTGGCTCCTGCTCAGGTCAATAGCAACCCACCCTTTGTTTCCTCTGATCAAATTCAGCCACCTGAATCTCCTGATCTAGTACAACCCACTGATGCAGAGAATATGCAGAACATAGAGCAAGTTTGGGAAGAATTATTGTCCCTTCCAGAGTTACAGGTTAGTATGACAAGCACCTGAAAAACAAAGCATGATATTTTTTGGATGACTATAGCATTTTGGAGAAGGCAGTACAATAGCATCTGAACAAATGGCCATTATTACTTGTTTCTACACCGGTAGGGTGTTTATAACTCAATAGAAGCTTTAATTTTTTTTCAAAAAGAGTATATTGAAAAACACGTAGAAAGAATAAAACAAGTTGTTTGTGGATAAGCCTTAATGAAACATTTCTCAGTCAGAACTTCCTCATGTTTAGTAAGTCACTGTTTGCCTCTGTGTGCAGTTTGATACCGCATGATTCAGCTGTTCAAAAATGGACAATTCTGAGCCATGGATCTACAACAGGAATTGTTTTCACAAGTGTTACTGTAAATGTCGGGGGCTTTTTGGCAGTGTCCAGTTGTGTGAATGTGATTAACTTTTTGTCCAGTTGTGTGAATATGATTAACTTTTATCTAAGGAAAAGGTTTTTTAAAGCTAATAATAGAATATATATTTAGTCACACAAAAGAGTCAGGTATATTTATATGAATGCTGTTCGTATACATTCAGTAAGAACAACTTGTGTAATGTACATGAACTGGATATTTCAATGGAACAAAAAGTTACTTTGTTAATACAGAGAATATGTAGGTTTTTTTAATCCTATGCTTATATTTGTTTTCCTTCTATTTGATAATAAAATTGAATACATTTATTTTCAAATATATTACTGTAGAATGTCATCATGCTTTCCAGCATGCTGCTGCTCTACTTTATGCTATTAATACAAGAGATGATTGCTTGGTGGAGTGCCCATAAATCTGAATCATATTTCAAAAAACTAAAGTGAAAATTTGCAGGAGCTGAATTTTTTCCTGCCGCTCTCCATCTTGCCTTTGTCTATTTTTTATATTCTTCTAGTTTTCTAACCTGATTACTGTGTTAGGCTTAAAGGCCTCACATAAGTAACAAAGGCAGTTATCTGTGAAGAGGCAGCAGTGATGGTGATAATGCATTAAGAAACCAATCCAAAATAATCTATTACAGTAATTCTGAATAGTAATTGAATAATTTTCTTGAAAAAAAAGGTAAATAAATGAGGGCCTTTTACAAATTATGTTTAGAGAAATGGAAAACCAGAGCTCTGACATTGAAAATCTTACTTTAAGCCATGAACAACCTCTAGTTAAGTAATTCCTGGGGGACAGCAGGTCTGCATATTTCAGCTTTAGTTAAGCAACTGCCACCTTGTTGGAAAGATGTTCATGTAGCCAGTGAAAACCTATCAGTGGAGCAGTCTGATGCTCACACTGGTGTTAGCCAGCTGAACTGATGTGTTTGCCCAGCTCCACTCTTCTTACTTCACCAAGAATTACATTGCTCTGTGCTGAAAGCTCCTTCATTCAGTAAATCCTAGAAGAATTTTGGTTTTGAGGAACTGAGATGAAAGTAATAGTGCTAGAAGTCACTGTTTGCTGTACATGCTCGTTAAGTCTTATTTAGGAATTTTACCTTTCTGTACTCATGCATTCCTAGCAGTGGTGCTTGTAAGAAGTTCAGACCTGGCAGCTCCAGGATCCCCACTAGCCATTACCAGAACAGGAGGGCTCCATGCAGTTTCCATACCACATTGGAATGGAGTGGGTGTCTTCAGCATCCTGCTTTGAGCTTGAGAGGCTCTGATCTCTTACTCTAAAATGCTTTGTCCAGAACAAGTTATGTTCTGTTTTTGCTTTGGTATCTGTCATCTTCCTTGACTGCCTCTTCATAGCACAAGGGTGCTGTAGTCATCTGGACTACAACAGTGTTATTAAACCCCTTTATGTCAATGTTGATTGCTATTTAATGCTTTTGGATTGTAGAAAATGATTTTATGAATTGGACACATGTTGCTCAACTTTTCCCTTGCATTCCCCATCTAGTGCCTGAACATTGAAAATGATAATCTGGCTGAGGTGAGCACAGTCACGAGCCCAGAACCAAAGCCAGCTGAGATGCACAACAGCTACAGTTACTGCAGCTCATTACCCATGCTGAAAAAAGACTGCAGTCCAGATTTCCTGGATGGTATGGAGGGCACCTTCTCGGGCATTTTGCCACCAGAAGACACCAGCCAGCTGAGTGTGAACTCTTTAAATGACACATCCCCTTCAAACTCTGATTTCTGTGAGGATTTTTACAGTACATTTATTGATACAAAGGTGAACGGTGATGCAGCAGCAACGAACACTATCAGTCAATCTCTGGCAGAGATTCTAAGTGAACCTATTGATCTTTCTGACTTTGCACTGTGTAAAGCTTTTAATGGCAACCGCTCAGGGACCAGAGCAGAAGGTACCGATTCTGACTCTGGTATTTCACTGAATGCAAGTTCCAGCGTAGCATCGCCGGAACACTCTGTGCAATCATCTGCCTGTGCAGATAAGACTCTGGGTTGCAGCGATTCTGACATGGAAGACACGGACAGTGCTCCTGGAAGTAGGCTGCAGAACAGTGCTGGTGTGTACTCTTTGCACCTCCAGGATCAAGTGCTTTCTTCCTTAGGGCCAAGCACTCAAACACCAAGTTTGCCACGTACAGCCACACCAAAGAAAGAACCCCCTCCTGCTCCCGGCCAACCCAAAGCTCCCTTCACAAAAGATAAACCTCCAGGCCGCCTTGATGCTCATCTCACGAGAGATGAGCAAAGAGCAAGAGCTCTGCAGATCCCTTTTCCTGTTGAAAAAATCATCAATCTCCCTGTTGCGGACTTCAGTGAAATGATGTCTAAGGAGCAGTTCAATGAAGCCCAGCTTACACTTATTCGAGATATACGCAGGAGAGGCAAGAACAAAGTGGCTGCTCAAAATTGCCGTAAAAGAAAACTGGAAAATATAGTAGAACTGGAGCATGATTTGAGTAACCTAAAAGATGAGAAAGAGAAATTGCTTAAGGAAAAAGGAGAGCATGACAGAAGCCTTTATCAAATGAAAAAGCAATTAACCACCTTGTACCTCGAGGTCTTCAGCATGCTGCGTGATGAAGACGGAAAGCCTTACTCTCCTAGTGAATATTCACTGCAGCAAACTAGAGATGGCAATGTCTTTCTTGTTCCTAAGAGCAGGCAGTCAGGGACTAAGCTTTGAAGGGCAGTACAGCTGGCTCCTGTTCGCTGAGTTACTAGTTTTGTATTATTATCATGATCGTTTTTACTGTGAGGTGGAATACAGAATTAAGTAATATTTGTCAAGTAAGTCTATGCAATGATAATTTTAAAGTTGTTAATTAGTTTATGGAAGATGAAAGTTGAAAATTAGTCAAATGCAGATGGGCATATAGAAAATTTTTAATCTGACTTTATAACAGACATTTCCTTCCTATAGCACCACTTTGACTAGTTTCCATATATATGTAAATATTTAAATATGCCATATTTATATACTGTTCCTATCTATTGTTATATTCATAGATTTGATATATATATATATATATATATATATATATGATTTTAGCCTTCTGAATATAATTTCTTGCAAGACAACCAGGATGGCTTCTTATATTTTTTATAAATATCCAATAGTGTTCCCCATTTTTCTTACACATTTATATTTGCTTTATATTTAATATATTAATTTAGTATAAAAGTTGACACTCAGTGTTTGATTTTGCTTTATCAGCTCATTAAACTTTTTAAACTCTACTTCATACACAGGAGAGAAATCCTTGCTTGTTTTCCAAGGCTAAGTCTTCCTGTAGCATAATTATCAATCACACAGCAGTGTCAGCACTACTAATGCTTCATTCAGCTTCATTTTAACCTTTGGAAAGACTGTGTAACACAGTTTCAAGTCTATGCTAAGCTCACATTTTTGTTTTCCTCCTTGAACACTATTTAAATTAATGAGAATTCATGCCTTTTCTCCAAAGGCATTTAAAATCTGTTAAAGCATTGCCAGCATTGTGCCTTTTTCCAGCTAAAATTTCTGTAGGCTTTTGAGCAATTCTCCTAGAAATACACTACTGTGCCTCTGACTTCAATGAATGAGCATCACCTGTCCCTGCTGTTACTTTGGTGCTTATGGAAAACTACATCCACCTGCCCTGTTTGGAAACTCTGCTCAGTGAATTGAAAAGCTTGTGGAGTTTAAATTATGATTTATAAAATAAAAAATGGGCAAATAAATAGCATGGTTTTCTTTACTACCCAAAGGACTTACTGCGCCTGATTGTTATGTATTTTTTCAATACAGAAAATGCATAATTTGTAAGACATGTTGATCTGAACATTAAAAACCATCTTCATCCCTGTGCAAGAAGTTCTAAGTCATGCTTGATCTGAAGTGATTTTTTTCTTACCACTGATGGTCCATATCATGGGTGGGCACTGGGGGAATGCAAGACACTGCTGCCACTTAAAGCAAGACGACTAATTCATATTTGAAGATGGCAATTTTATAGCATAGGCATCAAGGAGAAAGCAGACCCATGGCCCTGAACAGTCAACACTGATACACAGGAACTCTTAAACACAGGCAGGGGCTGATGGCAAAGTACAGAGCACCTAAAACACTCCTGGGTTCCCCTTGCCATTACTACGCTATCAAATATCTGTCAGAGAAAATTCTCTCTACAGCTGCTCTATAAATACTTTTAATTACAAATTTGCTATAAAATAGACATCTCAGTAAACTCCTGCCTTGCACTTCCATTTGTTCCTTAATTTGTTCACTAATGTGAAAGCCAAAGGCAAACAGCATCCTTACAGTCTTTGCAGGGACTGCTGTATTTGTACCATTGATTTGTCCAAAAGATAATACTTCTCCCATTACAAAAACGAAAGTGCAACAACAAAAAACCTGCAGTTAACACAGCAGCCTTGTTTGAATTTCATCAGGTGAAGAATCAGCCTAAATTAACTTGGTCTGTGACAACTTGAATTCAGTTTAAACCAGTGTTCTTCACGTCAAACCCCTTAATATCATTAAGAAAATCCACATTACTGATATATATAAAAACATCAGATTGCAAACTTTAACCTTCATTTTATTAGTATTATTACTGAGGTACAGGGTGTGCTCCCAACTCTGAGTGACTGCTGACCTCATGCAGTGACAAGCTGCCACACAGAGACCATTTGCTTCTTGATCAAAACATCCCAACTTAAAACTGTTAAGAATAAAGCTGAAAAGATGGCCTGAACCAAGGGGTTTCGGCTTGCAGTCCCAAGTTGGAAAGATGATCCTGTAAGAAAATGTGTTGCAATAATTCTAGACCACTTAAGTGTTCTGCACAGCACTAAAAAAAGGTGATGCCAACGCATTTTAGATTGTAAGTCATTTGACAAATATACACTTTATTCTGATACAAAATCGAAATATTTTTACAAATTTTAATCCATTATGGACTATACTGAAATTTTAAATTTTCACACTATTTTAACTTGTTTAACCACAAGTTTCAAGATGTCAGCACACTAGCATCATTGCTCTTGAAGTCTTTGCCAGTTACACCATTTTTTTCTTTTTCCAATCTTGCGATATTATCTTCTACATGAAGGCCATTTTTTCTTCTGTGGAGATACTTGGATTACTTTAGTTCAGGAAAAGCTAAGAGAGAGAGATGTCAACCTGTAGCACCCACAGCAGAAAAAGAATCATCCATCAGATATGTGAATTTCAGTGATACTCAAGATCTTACATGCTCCACACAATTTTAAGATACACACACTTGTCAGAGACCACAGACTGATTTGTGAATATTTCACCTCAGTGTAGACAGTACATGAAAACCACGTTAATGTCTTAAACACAGGAACCAAAGACAGCACATCAATACATCACACAATCCATGCTTGAAAAGATTAAGAACCTTAAGTGTTGAAAGGATATAAAAGTTAAGATGCTGTGTTTAATCTTGGTTTTCTGTAATAGCGTAGTTACCTCCATCAATCTGGGCTGCTTTTGGTGGAACCCCCTTCTCTACCTGAAGTATAATTTTTGTTTATCAAAAATTATATTTTTGATAATTGCTGTACAACTGTAGCTTAGGGACCAATGTCCGTTAGTTTTCCATCTTTACAGCCCCATCTCCATTTAAAGCTGCTATTTTCAACAGAAGCCAGTAAACAAAAACATGGCCTTGAAATAAAATTCTTAACTCTTTAAAAGTGCCTCTTGGACAGAGATACAATTGACCTAGTAATCCCTTAAGAATGTGTTTATTTTGGTCAGTTATTTCTGAACAGATTTGGCTATAAATAACTGAATTTAAGCAAATTAATCTTAACAAGAGTGTTATAAATCAAACTCTGAAAATAATTCTAACAGTGATTATCTACTTCTATATATGGTGCAAAAAGAGCCATCCAGAGCACACAACAAATCTGCAGCAATGTGGAATCCTCTCGTATTAAAGAAAGGTACAGCTTTACTCTATACACAGGCCTACTACCAAGGCAAACTACAAAGTTTTTGTTAAAAATTAATTTTGTTAAAACATTTTCAAAATTTTACTGTTAAAAAAATTCCAAAGACTACTGGAGGTGCAAGAGCATTTGCCTACCAGAGGGGCAGTGCTGTTGCCCATTACCTGTTGCTGCACAGATGCCTGCAGGAGCTCTGCCAAGCAGAGCAAAATCACAGGTTTCCCACTCCTAGGCTTAAAAAAGCAAGCTGTCATCTCAGCAACAAGCTGGCACATTACACTAAGGCAACATGACTGTATTGCAGTTTCAGATTTAGGCTCAACCTTGGCTAAGCACAAACTTGTCTCAAATGTTTTTTAAAAAGTACATGCAGTTATAATGAGATTTTCAATTAAGTAGCTTCTGTTTTTATGAAAATCTCTATATGTTACTTCCAAATTACAGTTAACTGTGTATTACAAAGTCAGGAATTACTTTCTGGGAGTCTACAGGCAGCAGGTAAAAAGTCTAAGTACTTGAAACAGTTTGTGAACATGCCTCTGCCTCTGATTAGGCGGGTTCCATTTGACTACTTTCAGAGCAACTGAAGTATAACCAACACTAAAATAGAAATTGACCTCCTAAGAATGCATAGGCTCAGAAACATATTGGGAAGTTTAAATAGATGCTGAAGTACTTTATAAAATGGACCTGTAATAATCAAAGATGCAGAAAAAGAAATAATACATGTTCCAGTCTGTGTAAAATCAAGATCCCATGAGGTTTTATTACCATTCCATTTGCCTGTACAAATGCCATTGTGATTTCAGCGGGGTATCATGACAGTATTATCCTCAATTACCCTGCCTGAAAGCACCCAGAATCTGAAAGGGAGCTCTTTGATTTGTACAGGTAAATACATCACCTGGTAAGCCAAGATTCACTGCCTAGGAGGGAAATCCCAGCTTGCACAATACCCAACTCCCTCCCAGAGCAGGTGCAAGCAGCAGCATCAGGTCACTCGCTGCTGAGAGCCGAAGAATGACTTCAGTGTCACTGCCCTTCTGGGCTTCTCTGCGGCACCTCCCCAGCACACTCCACAGTAACCACAACACATTGTTTCAAAACATCACAGTCTTGTCGACCTCAGACACGAAACAGTTTTGTATCTGCCAGGAACAGAAGATTCTTGAATAGGAAATGTGCCAGCAAGCAGCACACATCCAGATCAGGAAACACTGGATAGCATATGCTGGAATATCTGCTGCTTAGTACTTATGGCTTCCCTTGATATTAAGGGACTGTGTCAAAGGAAAGCCTAGAAGAAAATAGGGGTTAAACACATTTTACTATACACTACAAATCTTACCCAGTCAGAAACCTTCATTTGAAGAGGATGTGCAAGACATTCCCCATTTTGTCAAGCAGCAGCTTCTCATTCAACCTGAAAATTAAAGAAATTACTCTTACCTTGTTTAAAACCCTCCCACCACTCTTTGTAATTCATGAAAAATTTTAAAGGCAAACCTTACCTATGCTCATTGCCCTTCCTTTCAGGTCTAAATGCTAGACCTATTGATTTTGAGTCAACTCAAGTAGCTATCACTCAAGGAGGTTCCAAAAGGTGAAGAACTCTTGCTAGACTTTCTTCGATATTTCAGCTGTGATAAGCAGATTTAACTAGCCTTGGGAAAGCTGCTCACTATCAGCACAGTATCTTATTCCTTCACTTTTCTGGAAGTTGAAGCTGTTGCTCCTGCTGCCTTGTCATTCTTTAATTAGGCTGACTTCTCCATACTCAATAGGCTGCTGAAGTCCTGTCTTACGAGTCTCCTTAGCAATGTATGGATCAAAGAAGTACATCCTAGGTTCAGTAAAGCTGGCGGATCACTGTCCTCATGGCTTAACACTCTTCCACGTCACAAACAACAGCTAAGCTACCCCACCCACCTACAAAGCGGTCACTTACATCCATCTCTTAAAAGGTTGCATACAGATCTTGTTCATAAAGTTTATTATGACACTATTTTTCAAAGTTAACATTGTAGTCACAGTACAGCTACAAGAGGCCCTGTTAAAAACAACACTGTCAATACATTCTAAAAAAATTTAGAAAATACCAGATCAATTGTCAGAAGGGACATCAACCCCATCCTCCAGTTGTCCCTGCAATCAGATGCAGGACCCAGGTGCAAGTCTACACATCTTCTAGCATAGTAATGTACAAAGCAAGTCAGAAGTCAGGTGTCTCACGTGTCTCACTCCCTAGTGAGTTGTGGTTTAGTTTCCCACGTTTTCAAACTCCAAATGGGTTGTTTAAAAAATGCCTTTATTGAAGTACAGCCTCCCCCCCACCCCAAGCCCAAATGAACACGTACAACAGAAGAGTTCACTAAACCACCAATTCTTGCTTTAACTTTTGAGATCTTTCAGAACTCCACAGACAAGAATAAGCAGACTTTGAAATCCATTTTGGAGGCTACCATCTTGACACTGGTTCCTTGTTTTAGCGTACTGCAGTCTAAATACACTCAAATAACAGTGTTTAAATAACATATGTTTAATTTTTTTCAAACAACACACTTATTTTTCTACCACTTCTTAAAAATTATAATTCATTAATATGACTGATTATGCCTTAAGCCATTTCATACATCTTTGCAGATTCACTCCTACACTGGAATTGCATTTACCTTATACTGAACATTGACCCAGAAGTGAAACAGGTGTGAGTAATTCCAATACATATTGCCAAGTGTCTGAGTATTTCTTTTATTGACTGGCTCCCTACTCTTCTGAGTCTGAATTGACAGCAAGCACTGGCCTGGCAATAGTCAAGAGAATTCACATCAGATGAGGACAGCACAGACTGCAGTGCCTTAATTTGGAGGTCAGAAGTGAGAATGAAGTACAATTTCTA